ATTATCACACAAACGCCTACTTTGTTTGAGTTCACATGAAATCGCACTACCTTTTTTGTCCATAGCAATGCTCTGCAAAATGGGCGTTACGCATTTTCCTTTTTACTGACAATAAGGAATTAGAAATCGATTTTAGTATGCAAAAACAAAATACACTAAAACAACAAACACATTGAAAATCCTTTCTAACAAACGATTTCTGGACCTATTCAGGGAAAACGATATTAAAACAACAGCTCAGCAGTTAAAAGACATAACGAATTAGCAAGTGAAGTGAGCTAAATTTTAATCAAATGCTTATATTGCTTGAATTTCTGGCTATACACACGAATCTTGTTCTGATCCAATTGGTGCCTTGGCTTTCAGATTAAATGCCCCATAAGGTATGTTGTATAATTCTGCACATTCCAGTTCCTTTTTGGTAAAAATGCTTTTTTACGAATGTGCAATATGCCCTTCGTCATTCAAGACTAACGCCTTCCTAGCCCACATGTTCTGCTAGCATCAGTGCAAGCGCAAATCAATTCTAAGATGAGCTTCTCCATTCAAATGAATATCTGTGCATGTGTGTGCATGGCTGCATGTCTGGATAAGCATGCTTAGATATAGATGTGAGTGGTAGAATGTGGTTAATTAATCTCCTTATTGATGTATCTTGGCAGTCGCTAGGAAGCGCAGCGCAATGTAGCCTAAGAATATTCAGCTGAACCCTATAGCCTACGCTCTCTACCCTAAGCCCCCTCCTAGATTTCAGAGGTAGGTAAAGTCAACCTTTCTGACAATCTGTAGGTGACACCTTTTCCTCCAGTGTAGTGTAAAGAAGGGCATCCTAAATGCTTTTTTTCTAAATTGCAAGTGCATCATTTCCTGCAAGAAAAGTGGTTTACATAAATGCTTGACTATGGAAAAGGCGGTTTGTAGTTCTGATCGTGGGGTGGAGTCATGGAGATAGAAAAGTAGAGAGCAGTGGGGAGATAGAGATCTAGGGTGGTGGCTGGACACCCAGATTGGTAGAGAGGCTGAGAAGTAGGGCGCTAGAGTATAAGGTGG